TATAAAGATCATTCCAAAAGGTGTCCTATCCTAAAGAACCTGAATCTAATATTTAATATGTTCTATCTAAGATATTATATATACTAAGTTGTAACTGTAACTGCTAGTCTTCAATGCCCCATTGAGACTCTGGCAACTGTCACGCCTACGAGGCGGGGCCAGGGGAGGCGTCTGGAGACCCGAGACTTGGATGGGCGAGTGCTCTCTCTGTTCCTGGACCCTAGATGGTGGAGGTTGACTGAGCAGAGTTCCAGAGAACACCGCTGGACTGCGATACACCTTCCCCAGACCCCCGCCTCGTAGGCGTGACAGTTGCCTGAGTCTCAATGGGGGTTGGAACTTCCAGATCCAAGCTGGAATGGCTACCCACTACAATGCCCTCTTCTGATAAAAAGGCATGCATGAAGATAGAGCACTCATATACATAAATTAAATAAATAAATCTTTTTTAAAAAAGAGGAAAACTGAATATAAACCAACATAATGTTTCTTTTCTGAAATAATGAGTAAATCACTTACCCCAAGTGCGTGGAATCTCACCCAGAAGGGGCTGAAAACACCGAATTTGAATTGTTGTCTCCCTGATTCACTCCCCACCCCCAGCCACTGCTGTTTCCTCCTGGAAGATCCTGTCAAACTAGCCCAGGAGCTGTGCTGGCTTGCTCTGGCAATCCGTTAGCTTCAATAACAGTACATGGAGGGTCAGGGGCACAGTCCAGGCCCTAATGTCTGGGAATTAGGAAGTTCTGAGGAGAGGCTAGCAGGGCAGAGCAGCAAGGGACCCATGAACTGACCTGGCAGGAATCTCCTCCTCTCTCACTATAGCCACAGACGCTCCCTTCTTGGACTTGGGCAAATAGTTTTCCTGTGCTTTCTCTGAGAATCTCATCACATTGCTCGTAACGAATAATGCTCAGCTCAACCTCCCGAAGCTGTCCTGATGCTCTCCCTAGAGGGAGATAATTTTGGAGAGAGCAGATCTCCATTAAGTAGGAATGACAGGAGTCAGTTGTACCTCCTCTGGGTCTCAATTCCGTGTTCACACATGGGTACCCTCAAAGGCACCAGCTGTCATTCACATCTGACGCTGAAGGAAATGAGAGTGTAAGACAATGGAAAGTCCAAACCAAGGAAGTCAAAGGAAGGACAGCCCAAGTGAGGGCCAAATCTTGTCAGCCTGGGAGGTGACAACAAGCATGTGATATGTTCTCACTAACACTAGTGACAGTGTCCTATGCACCAGGAGAGCATCTTTACTTGCTAGGACACAATCACAAACTCTCAGACAGGTAGTCCACCAAAGTACCAAACTACACTCTTCCCAGTAATAGGAGGACCCTAGAGCAGTGGTTCCCAACCTTCCTGATGCTATGACCCTTGAATCCATTTCCTCATGTTGTGGTGACCCCCAACCATAACATTATTTTCATTGCTATTTCATAACTGTAATTTTGCTACTGTTATGAATCATAATGTAAATATCTGTGTTTTCCCATGGTCTTAGGCGACCCCTGTGAAAGAGTCATCCGATCCCCAAAAGGGTCACAACCTATAGTTTGAGAACTGCTGCCCTACAGACTCACGGCGTTTCCTGGCCTCTCCTCACATACGAGAAGCTCCCTACTACCAAGATAGGTACTTCTAGCTTACACACAGGTCATCTCCCCCTGAACTAGAATCCACTCTGGTGAGTATCCACCATGTTTGGTACCCAAGTCCTCAAGCCCTAGGAAACCAGTAGAAATTCACCAATCGTGGCTCCCTCATAGCATCTTCTCTCTCCCCCTCCCTTATCCACCTGCTAGAAGCTCCAGCTCCCTGCCCCTCCCTTTAGCTTGCAGGCCAGTCCCAGTCTACGAAGCAGTCTGCTCCCTGGTCTGTAGTTGCTGTGGTCTTTGTTTAGGCTCACCTTTTTCAAATGTTCTGCCCCATCCGGTCACCCAGCACTGGGTCCCAGCTTGTACCAAGAAAGCCCTGTCAGGGAGGCAGACAGGCTGGATGGAGACAGTGTAGTTCACAGGGAAGGCCAGCAGAGCAAGGGCAATGTCGTTCACAATGGATCCCATAACAGAGTAATCTTGGTGAACAATGATGTCTTGGACAGGAATGTTGACTGCATTTTTGGACGACAGGTTAATCTCTCCCATCGATACTACATAATTCAGATGGCTGCAAAGAGATCCTGAAGGGTCTACACACTTCCTCTCCACACAGTCGCCCCAGCCCAGCCCCATCCTCCTGAGACAGCCACCAGCTCCTCCCTCTGTTCTAACCATGTTCCCTCCAGGACCCCTAACCACCCCATCCAGCCACCAGTCTGTTCTCCAAGTGTGGTCTCTGCTCAGCATCACCTGGGATTATGTTAGAAATCCAAATGTTCAGGTGTCACCCGAAACTGAATTTTAAAAACAGCAAAACCTACGACTGTCTGTCATCTCCCACGCCCTATAGTTTTAGGTGGGTTCTCTCATTCTGTGGCCCAGGCTGGCCTGGAACTCACTATCTAGACCAAGTTGGCCTTTAACTCCTGGCAATCCTCCTGCCTTAGTCTTCTAAGTGTTGGGATTACAGGCGTGAACCACCACCACCGGCTCCTTTTTTTTCCAAATAGAAAGCAAGAGGGGCAGGCCATAGAACCTGGTCAGGGGCCCAAGCCCAGATCCCCGGGCACTCACCCATACACACAGTGGGCCGCGGTCATCACCCACCATTTGCTGATGAGGGAGCCGCCGCAGATGTGGGAGCTATCCACCTGCAAGCTCACCTGCCAGGGCCACTTCCTCTCTTCGGCAGGCTCTCCGCCAACTATCCTTGAACTTCTGCGGCCACAACCTGGAGCAGGTCGGTGAAGGGAGGAGGGGCTGAGGGGTAAGGCTGTCGCTGCTCCACCACCAGCCAGATCCTTAGAACCTGCAGAACAAGCCGCCCCACCCCCCACCCCGTCCCCGAAAATAACCCCAGGGCAGGTGTGGATCCCTAAGACTCATCAGGGTCAGAGCCCAACCCCACATCCAAGGACCCAGGATCCTCCTGGACGTCAGGGTCCCATCCCCGTAGGTCCAGGCTAGTTCTCTGCGGCAAACCATGGCCCAGAAACCTCACCTGCAGTGGTTGGGATCCATGTTGGAAACCGTTCCCGTGACAGAGTCATGGTTGGAAAAGAGTGATCGGGAGTAAATGCCACTGAGTTAGGGGACATCACGCCCCCCGCAGGCTGGGGGGCCTGCGAGGTCTCAGGCATCCCTGTGAGGGGCTTCTCCCAGGGGCGTGCACCCAGGCCATCGATGCCATCCCCCAAGGGGAGAGGAGCAAGAGACAGCATCCCTGGAACCATCCGGGCCTCGCCCAATTGTGTCTGAAGCAGCAAGAACCTGGCCAAGAGGCCCAGGGAGGAGCTGCCTGGTAAGGCCATACCACCACGAAGGCCTCGGCCTCTATCTCTGAGCCTCCTCATGGCAGTTACCGAGGCTGCGCACAGTTCTGGGAGGAACCGGTTCCATCACGCGCCTGCTTTCAGGCCCGACTTTGGCGCATCATCCCCTTCCCAGCTGACCCACGGGACAGGGCGTGACCCAGACAGAGTGGCTAGCCTGGGCCCCTGGCCATAGAGAACCCCTGCTTAGGAGCCCCAAATTCACGTAGAAGCATCCATGATGCAAGGATGCACAACGGAGCTTCTCGGGCTTGACCAGGCCTTTCCCCAATTCTCCCTTCCCTGGTGATCTGTAATCAAAAGTAAAACTCCTTAGCAGAGATGTGGCGCCTAATGTTACTAACCATTGCATCAGGGTGGACGCTACCACCTTTTTGAAAAGTCAACGCCCACAAGATCTTCAAGACCCACTAGGCATATCAGCACAACACAAATTAAAACCACAGTGAGACATCAGTGCAAGTTTATCGGGCTTTCCAAAACAAACCCGTAACAACCTCAAATGCTGACAGTGGTGCCGAGATACCGCCTGTCCACGCACTGTGGTGGGAATGTAAGTACAACTACTCTGGAAAGCACACTGGCTGTTTATTATACAATAAAAAATGCAATTACCATACACTTCAGTACTTATATTCCTGGATATTTATCCCAAAGAAATAAGGATTTATGTTCTATTAACCCGTATAAACGCTTATAGTATTAATATCTTCGTTCATCAAAATCAACAGCTCAAAATAACACAGCAGTAAAACTCTTTGCCTTCCCCACAACATACATGTTCTAATCCCTGGAACTTATGAGCATGTTACTTTACTCGGCCCCTGGCAAATGGAATGGATTAAATTAAAGGCTCTTGACACAAGAAGGTTATCTGAACTATCCAGGTGGGCCCACTGTAATCACAAGCTTTTTTATTTATTCACAAGACAGTTGAAATCAAGAGAAGAGATGTCAGGAAGGGGATGGGAGGGGAGAAGTTGTTAATGCTTCACCGTGGTCTTTAAAGGATGAGGAAGGGGTTACAAATCTAGGGATGAAGGTGCCTCTAGAAACTGGAGCCAGAAAGCAAATAAATCCCCCCACCCCCTCAGGCCGGGCGGCGGTGGTGGCGCATGCCTTTAATCCCAGTACTCGGGAGGCGGAGGCAGGTGGATCTCTATGAGTTTGAGGCCAGCCTGGACTATAGAGTGAGTTCCAGGAAAGGCTCCAAAGCTACACAGAGAAACTCTGTCTCGAAAAAGAAAAAACAAACAAACAAACAAAAATTCCCCTCTTGCCAAGGGTGGCACACGCCTTTGACCCCAGCATTCAGCAGAGGCAGGCGATCTCTGAGTTCAAGGCTAGCCTGGTCTACAGGGCAAATTCCAGGGCAGCCAGGGCTATTACACAGAGAAACCTCAACTCAAAAAAAAAAAGAAAAAAGAAAAAAGAAAAAGAAAACAAAACTCTCCTCCTCTGTCTCCAGAAGGAAACAAGTCAGCTAACTTTGGTTTTAGCACCTGTGACCTCCGGAATTGCAAACTGCACTTGGGTTGTTTCAAGCCACTAAAGTGGTGGTAATTTGTTACAGCTATCCAAAGAAATCACTGCAAACCCAGATATCCTCCAGGGAGTGAACAGATAGACAGCCTTAGGTTCACACGGTTAAACCTGAGACCAGTGAGGAGAAAACACCCCATCCACAACTGTCCAATTAAAGCAAGCTGTGTTTTGGGGCGTGCCTGGGACTGGCCAGCCAGCTGTCTCACCCTAAATTGGGATTTGAGAGACTAGGCCCTGCGGGCCCCTTGAGATCTCTTTTGTAGGAGAGATAAGGAGGTGTTGACAGGGGCGAGAGAGCTGGCCGTTACACACTGTCAGAAAGACAGAGAAAGGGAAGAGAGGAGGGTAAGGGAGTACATCATGGGGATGGGTGGAAAGTTTCGTGTAGACTGAAAAGCATGTTTTGCAGTTGACATCAGATCTAAGAAACAGGAACTCATTCCCCTTCCCCCCTCTCTCTTTTTTGGGGTGTCTGTTTGTTTTTTGTTTGTTTGTTTGCTTCTCTGTGTAGCCCTGGCTGTCCTAGAACTTGATCTGTAGACCAGGCTGGCCTCAGACTCACAGAGATCCTCCTGCCTCTGCCTCCAGAATTCTGGGATTAAAGGCATTGGCCACCAGGCTCAAGAACTTATTCTTCATTACAAATAGAAATCTTAACTTGCAAGGACTTAACACAGGACAAACAGGAACTTTTCTTTAACTATAAGCAGAACCCCTAACCTGCAAAATACATTGTTTGTGTTCTGGCTTCCCACTAACTTGCAGATATATTGTTCCTGCTCTGATCTCACAGTACCACGAAGTGTTACTGAGCAATTGGAATGAACTGGTGAGGAGAAAGGAGAGCTGAGAGGGAGACAGATGAGAGAAATGAAAGTTTGATCTAATCACAATACATCATATCAATCAATGTATGAAATTATCAAAAACAAATTTAAAATATGCATTCTAGTCCAGTTCCATGGGTGCTCCTCTGCCATTGGTTCACAGTTCATGCACTTCCACTGGTTTGGCTATTTGTCCCTGTGCTTCCTCCAACCATGGTCTCAACTTCTCTCGCTCATACAATCCCTCCTTTCTCCAGCCGATTGGACTCCCAGAGCTCTACCTGGGGCTTGGCCATGGATCTCAGAATCCGCTTCCATCAGACACTGGATGAGAGTTCTATCATGACAGCCAGAGTTTTCGGCCATCCGATCACCAGAGCAGGTCAGCTCAGGCACTCTCTCGACCATTGCCAGTAGTCCACAGTGGAGGTATCTTTGTGGATTTCTGGGGACCTCTCTAGCACTCTGCTTCTTCCTATTCCCCCTGGGGTCTTCATTCATCATAGTGTCTCCCTCTCCGTTCTCCCACTCTGCTCCTGATCTAGCTGGGACCTCCCTCTTCCCTAAGCTCTCTTTCCCCCGACCCTTGCTCTCCATTACCCCACCCCACCCCCAGTTTGCTCATGTAGATCTCATCTATTTCTCTCTGGATAAGTGAGACAGTTGATTAGCTTGAACTGTTTGGGAGGCCCCCAGGCAGTGGAGCCAGGACCTGTCCTTAGTGCATGGGCTGGCTTTTTGGAGCCTGGGGCCTATGCTGGGACACTTTGCTCAGCCTTGGTGTAGGGAGGAAGGGACTGGACCTGCCTTGGCTGAGTCTGCCAGCCTGGGCTGACTCCCCAGGGGGAGACCTTGCCTTGGAGGAGGTGGGAGTGGGGGGTGGATTGGGGGGAGGGCTG